ACTGCGCACGTTGTGTGATCTGGACACACACACACACACACACACACGAAGTGTCCCAAGAGCAGGAAGTTAGAAGAGACAAACTGGATGGTTTTCGTGTGCTTCATGCTTAAGAACCCCGCAAAAGCTAACCGTAGCTGCTTCATATCGATGAGGATTTTTGAACAAGTCCTTGGTTTCCTTATAGTGAATATGTCCATGTGTAGTATAGTGTCACGTGTTCGGCTTATCGTTTTTTCTACGTGGATGTTTTAAAGATCTCAAAAACTGATGAACGACATGAAATATTTCCGAGTTTCAGACCACGCGTGCACATATAGTTCATGTTTTTTTGGGTATTATAAGCGGAATGTGTATTTTTGATGGTACATGGCTGCGAAATGGTTCGTGTTTCCCTGTATTACAGTAGCCTTATTGAGTAGCGTCAGAGAGACAAAACGTGTTGTCGAAGTTTTGACACACTGAGGGTATGGGTCTGCAAACAATGCTCGAGCATGTATTGAGTCATACTGAAGTGAGTTGATTTCATGGAAGATTACATTGCATCAAAGAGCGTTCATATTTCATGCTACGCCAAACACGCAAACGGCTAATGTGTGGCAGATCTGGTGGTCTCATGCTGAGGCAGAAGGTGATGTGGGTGGTGATGAACAGGATAGGATCATTGGGGCGATGCATTTGGCCAACGTGATTGTCACAGTGCTGGTTGCTGGTGGTTAGGATATTTTGCAGAACGAGGATGATGTTGGTTAAGTGGTTTCTTGGCAGCCCGGTCCATGTCATCTGACACGCAAAGGTGCATGTTTCTGACTTGGTTGTTGTTCCGTTTGAATAAAATGTGTCGGGCGTCCGAGCAGGTTCGAGCAGGTCTGCGACTTGATGGCCGCAAGCTGAGTGTTGGGGTTCCTTCAAACTTGACAGGACTGCAGAAAGGGATAGTGGTACCGTCATATCAATTAAGAGTTCCATAGCAACATCGGTGTTTCAATCGAGAAAGAGACAGAATCCCAATAATTCATAGCCGTTTGCACGTTGTGAAGAGTAGTGGCCTTGTTGAAAGTACGCAGAGTGCTGTGATCCGTAACATTCTAGTGTTGTGAAGTGAAATTTGTATCATCTGATCGCTACAGACAGAAGTCAAGGAAACAGCAGGGCAGAACGGACTGGACAAGAACCGCTAGCAATATAGCTTGCTGAGGAATAGAACGATGACACCACATTAACTGTCACTATGGTTCCTTTGTAAATGTGGATTCGGTTGATGGTAGGGGTTCCTCCTTTGGTTGAGGGTGATTCTATCCTCTATACCCGTGGCCTTGGCATTGTCCTGATGTGTATGCGTCGGACTTGGATTCCCAGCGACCCTTGGATTCCCAGCGACCCTTGGATTCCCAGGCCTGGTTGGGCAGGCCTGTACCGATGATGGCAGCTGTCGGATTCTTATGTTTGCAAGAGTTTTCGGGTTTGGCGTTTGAACTAATTCAGGTGACATTTTTGCTTGGAAAGGTACCTTGGATGGGCTGAAACCCGCGGAAGTCCAACTTGCATGTGCATTGTATGTGACTTGTGAACTCGTCTGCTGTGCGCACTAATGAACTCTATCTAGCTCCTGCCTTCTGCCCGCCTCCCCCCATATTGCGGCCGGCGAATACATCAAAGAGCAACAAACCTGTTACATCCTTTTGGGATACTTGGGCATACACAACCCACGTAGACCCACTTCTTCTGGCTCCCTGTTGCAAACCAAGCCGTGCAATCCTCGGAGCCAGCAATCCACGATAAAGTTGTTTTTTGCCTGCAACCCCTATAGGCCCTAACCCGTTTGGGCACTAAGCCATCAACCCACGACCCTAGCTCTGATAGAAACTGAGAAGGCTCACCGCAGAAGCGTTCCCATGGCCATATCACCCCCTGAGCCCGGCATTTCATGGGAATGGGGGGACGGTTTACGGTTTAGGGTTTCGGGGTTTAGGGTTCCCCCATTCCCTACTAAGAACCGAGACCTTCCATCCGAAAGCCCCAACGTGTCTTAAGCCATTCAGCAGAAACCCTAAACCCCGGCTTAGAGTACCCCTCATAGCAACCTCATATAGTCACTCTTCATAGTAATCCGCACAGTATCCCTAAACCTTTAAACCCTCAAACCATAAAGCCCTAGACCTCGTTTTGGGCGTTCTTGCGAGCAGGCCCTGGCTATGGGCGCGCGATGTCAGCATCGGGGCAGCGTTTTGGGAGTTTCCGAAAATTCAGGGGTGGCTTAGTTTGGCCCTTCAAGGGTTAATGAAGGGTTCTATAGGGGAGGGATATCTCTTTGGGGTTCTTTATTCTAACGATCCTACTGTTTCCCTGAGGCTCCAATGTAAGCAAATATGGCTAACATTGGGTTCAGTGGGCCTCAGGAACAACATGACCCCTCTACGGGCCCAAGTAGGCCACAGAGACAACATTCAAAATGGAGGTTTCCATTGAATCAGGAAGGTCCATCAGGGGTGGGCCTGGAGGGCCCATTAAGCGGGTACAAATGCAATACAAACTGCATGGATGCCCACACAACCGGTGAAAGTGAGAGAGACACTGCTGTCTGCGCCGGTGATTATTGAAAAATTCGAGTCTGGAATTGGCAATTCTGTCCATACCAATGATTTTGGAGAAGCTGCCGTGTGACACCCTGGAGCCATGCCAAGGCAAAGCTGTCCATACCAGTGATTTTGGAGAACATGTGTATCACTCTTGTGATGCAAAAGGGCAAAGCTGTCCGTACCAGTGATTTTGGAGAACATGTATATCACTCTTGTGATGCAAAGGGCAAAGCTGTCCGTACCAGTTATTTGGGAGAACATGTGTACACGAGTGCTGTCCACATATATTTGGAAGAACGTGCTTCATGTAGACCACACTGCCGTACACATGTGTATATGTATACGTATACATATGATACGACATGCAACACATGTAGACAACATATACATATGATGTACGTACATGTATATAAACTGACACAGGGGCAGGTGACACTCAATTATTAGGGTAACTCTTGTCAGTACGCAGATCCCTCATCAATCACCGTTCGAATTCCTCAGATATAGATCACCATCTGCAGGCAGTGCTAGGCCTGGGATAAAAACAACTTCTACGTCTACATTGTTTGGTAATTCCAAGACCCATGTACACCGGTGCCTTCAAGAAAAGTCTTTCAAACCAAATCCCTGTACACCCTGAACGAGTGTTTGTCGGGGAATTTGCGGTGTAGGGTTTTACAGGTCCAGTCTGGCATGCAGGGCTTCACGATCGCATTGCCGGGGTGTGGTGGGTGTTTTTTTGGGCTGGGACTTCTTCAGCAGGTTTGGGTTTTGAATCTCGGCTTCGGTCTCGAAGATTGTCATGGAGATCATTAATCTTCAGTTGTGGTGGTAAGTAGGGGCTTATTTATTAGTGGGGCTTCGAATACGATTTCCACAATTAAAGAGAGCGAATTGGAACAAGTCTGACTTTAGAACTCTCTCCTGTAAATTCATACATAGCCCAAGGTAGGGATTTACAAGGCCCAAAGTCGTCATCTGGCAGACTGTTTTGTTTTGTGGGGTGTCGGGTTTGGGGGCTTTGAGGGCCTAGGGGAGGCATGGACTTTCAGTCCTCAGTTCGAGTGAACGTGTCCTTTTGCAGGGTTTTAGGGTTTCCCAGGTTTCTAAATATATGCACCTTCAATCCTGAGGGTTTGGGGTTTTATTTAAGGACTAGCTAGCTATAGGCTTAAAGATTAGATACTGGGAGACCCCACTAAACTTTAATCAAGGATGAGGTTTGGGCAGGGTCTATCTTGAAGTAGTTGATACAACCATACCTAGCTACTTTGACCCATGCTAATATAATATAGTGCAACATATATAGTAGAACCCAACATATATATATATATATATATGTATATACACATGTCTCGTTTAAACGATACTTGTGTATATACATATATATATATATATATTGGGTTCTACTATATATGTTGCACTATATTATATTAGAACCACCATTATTATACCCCGACCTTCGGACTCCTCGCTTTTGGCACCAAGTCGAAAGTCTCGATGCAACTCCTGCGGCCACAGCCACACTCAACTGTGCAGCTTTGATCACCCAGACGGTGCACGGCAAATAAAAGCCCCATCGTATATATGCACGCAGTGTGTACCCAGAATCTTGGAATAAAGTGCTCCATGCACGGCTTTGAGAAGTGCCCAAATATAGCAGCATCGGTTGCCCAGAGTGATTGGATTCCAAAAAGCGCCAGATCATGTCCATTCCAAAAAACTCCAAAGCATGTGCAGTTGCACAATGAGACCAGCAGTCTGTGGCAAGCAGCAGTTGCCGATGCCCCACAGCACACCTGTGGGGAATTCGAATCGAATGATTTATTTCACAAAAAAACAAAAGTATATTTAAGGAATTAGAACCGAATTTACTATAATAACCCACTATAGGCGTATATATATATATATATATATAACTACTAAAACCCGAAAATAAACAAAAAAGACCGTATAGATCCGATTAGCTTTAACCCTCAAGGTAAAGCACATTAAACCCCACATATGCCTTTATTCTGCAAGGGGCACTTGCAGGCTAACTGACTTAAACTACAGTGTTATATGTTTATTGGACTCACACAGCTTCCACAAGCCAGGCCTTTTACAACTTAGGGACATATAGTATACAACTGCAGCAGAACCAGCATTTGCTGGGAAAACGAACTTCAGTCAGGGATTAGCGCTTCGGGATTTATATATAGGGTTCAAGGAAGCTTGGGTTTATAGGATTAGGGTTTTGGGGTTTAGTCAAGAAGCTTGGGTTTATAGGATTAGGGTTTTAGGGTTTAGGGAAGTTAAAAGAAAGAAAACAATGAGCTCGGACGACAACGCACTCGCAGGAGTTTGCAGCCAAGAATCATCAAGCCCCCATTGCAATATGGCTGCTGCTGCTGCTGTTGCTGCTGCTGCTGCTGCTGCTGCTCAGCGCAGCTGCATGGACATGAACCGCAGTTGCAGGCGGCATAATGTCCGAAACTCAAGCAGATCCCTGTGGCATCTCCGGGCCACATGCTTGACCAGGCCCATACAGTCTTCGTCCCGAAAACAATGAGTGAACCTGCAATTATACAGGGATTTCACCATGAACCAGTTAATCTCCTGATATGCATGGAGTTTCGGCTTCATGGGCCAGCAGAGAGACCCCATGGCAATGTGACGGGCAGAGAGTTCCCTGTATATCAGGACTGCACGCTCCGAAAGCCTCCAAAGTTCCGCAGCCTGCTCCGCCGTCAGAAATCGCCCACATGCCTCCACTTTCAGATGCCACGATGCAAGGCTGCTGGTGAGTGCAGTAATTAGCTGAAGTTCAGCATCATCACCGGCACTCTGTAGTGCAACCTCACAACAGACACTCAAGAAGGCGACGAAAACCCGTCCATGGTATGCCTTCAAAGTGAGCTCGGGGGTCGTCGGCTTCGCAGCAGTGCCCATGTGCAGCATTCCAATTGTAATGAATGGCTGGCTCTGCATAATGCCATGCAATGAACACCATCTGCGAAACCTGAGTGTGCAGACCTGCAACCTCGCTGCCAGCCCAACAGTCTTTGCACCAAAGAACTCACGCTCAAGCAGGGCCAACAACGTCGCAGCGTTGACCCATTGTTCGATGCCGAGGTTGACAACATGCATAGCACAAAAGTGTAGGGCCTCTGGGTGGAAGCCAGTCACCCAGGTCAACGGTGACACATAACTGCCCAGGGCCTTCGTGATGAATGCTGCATGTGAAAGTCGGGGAATTGCTTGGAACGACTCGAACCTGGAGAACCTGCTGCAAGCCGGCGTACTAATATCTGCACTTGTTTAAGGAATTAATTTGCAAAGCAGCCAGGAAAAAATACTATAAATCCAACCAAGCTGCTGGTGTGGCCCGGCCCGATGCGTTGCATCACAAAAGTGGCAGGTGTGAACAAGCTTGGGGTTGTAGTTGCGCTTGAACCTGAATGTTTCATATGCCCATTTCCAATCTCCACGGATTTCTGTCAAGGCAAAGGGTCCTCCAGCCAATGGCTTGTTGGCCTTCTTGCGCCGCAGTTCAGACAACTCATCATCAAAAGGGCCCAGCGAAGGAAAGATGCCCCCATACGCCACATTAAGCGACCAGGAAAGCACACGCAGAGGGACGTCCAAGGTCTTCGGCCCCAGGTTGTACTCACCACGAAGAACGAACCATGGAAACCGTGACATCTCCAGAGCCACTGGTTCGTGGAGGCAGAATGACAGCAGCATCACTATGATCTTTGCACCTCCCAATGTATATTGTGCGTCATCACCGGAAATGCCGATAGGCGTGTACAACTTGCCGCTTGCAGCAAAAGCATCTGCAGCAGGATGAGGATATCGGTGTTGTTTCCAGTGTGACCAGAAGCGCTTCAAGACATCGGAGCTCACATTGACCCGATGTTTGTCCTGATGTTTGATTCACTTCCATGACGGAAGACGTACATGAGCAAAAATCAGGGTTTAGGAATGCACTGGATATTCCCTAAAAAAAACATTAACCTGGAATAACACACTTCCCAAATTCTGAGCCTGGGTTCTGAAAGATAATGAAGCAGCTCATGCGGCAGAATCAGAGGCATCCGAGCAGTGGTTTCGGCCTTCCGATTTTCAGACGTCATGTCCCTCACAGGGATTTGGACGTGGTAAAAATCCTCAGCTGTGCACAAATTTAATCTACCCCCTGATCGCTACACGCACTGCTACTATATTCGAAGCCATTGTTCGACCCTGATACCCGAAGTAACCATCATTCGAAATAAGCCAAGGGTCCAGAGGGAGGTCGAGTATTCGTAGAAGGTCTCTTTCACAGTTCTGAGGGTGTCGGCCACTTGTGCCGATGCCAGCTATCTTCTTCGTCAGCGATGAGCTGTCTGGGTTTTCCTGTCAGGGGCATATATTTGTACATATATATGTATATACATAAGTGCTTTTCTTTCATGGAAGGCAGTATTTATGTCAAAAACTGGTTTGCTACGATATTCGATGTAATATAATATACTGCCTATGCATATATATATATATATACATACGGGCATACATTAATCAGACCCAGATGCCACCATCTCGAGTTCGAACCGACTTCGAAGAAACCACTGTGTATCTAGGGACCTTCATAGGTGCAGGACACCGCGATAAAGATAATGTTAAATTTGGGCTCGTTAGGATTTCTAGTTGTGTTTCTTTATTAGGGTGTAGGGGTTTCAAGAATAGTCATACCAACCATCTACACCTAGACCCCCGCAGGGTTGTGAGATTCAGACCTGAAATCGAATTGTCCGAAGACCTTCCTGCCCAGGTGTAGCTTCATGCACAAACTGTACGGATTACACTGGATTCTCTAGATCCCCTGATATGGTCATGAAAGGTACACATCTTATATTATATCAAGGGTCACAATGAAGGTTAAGGTTTCAGTATCCTCAAAGCCATATTATAACAGTACAGTTAAATTAAACCCTGATATAACCCTACACCATAAAGTTATTCCTAGACTAATCCCTGATATAATCCTAACCCCATTGTTCTACTTTGGAGGCTCTGGCCCTTGAACAATTCAAGCCTAAGCTGGGTCTACCCAGGGCTACCGACAGTGCATCCGACGAAGCTTGTATGCCCAAATCCTTAAACCCTTAACCTTCACACTCATTATAATAAAGTCTGAAAGCCTGGCCTTGACACATGCCGCTGCGGCTTCCTGGATCTCTTTGCAGCTCGAGGCCTGCAGATCGGTCACAGGTAATCTAGTAGAACAGTATTATGGTACTGTCTACTAAAATTTCGTAATTTCAGCAGGCTTGGTGATTAGAGATCCCGTTGCCTCATGACAAGGGTTGTTGTTCGGTGCCCACGACTATAGCTGCAGCTACTGTACAAATTTAGAGGCTAGGGGCTAAGGCACACCAAATATATTGGAGCTTGGGTTAGTACTTGCATTGTGCAGGTTATTCAGGAGATAAGTCGTGGAAGAACTTCAGAGGGCCATCAGGTCCAGGGTCCAGCTACCATCACACCAATAATATATATATATATATATGTATATATAGTATGTATATATATATATATATATATATATATATTATTGTATATGTATATATATATATATATATATATATATATATATATATATTATAGTATATGTGTATGTATATGTATATGTATATATATGTATATATGTATATGTATGTATATATATATATATACATATACATATACATATACATATACATATACATTATATATACATATATACATATACATATGTACATATACATATACATATATAGTTCAAATACCAATATCACTTCAGTCTAGATAGAGAGGTCAGTAGCGCAAGTGTGTATCATACACCTGTAGTGCAATGTCATGTCCATAGACCACGTATACGTGTGGCCAGTTAACATGTACATCCCCGGCCCCAAATGTAAACGTACTGACAACACAATCATCCGAAATCCATGTAGCTAAAATCATTGAGTCCATCACCGAATCGAAAGGTAAGTACGAAGCCCTCACACCAACATACATGAGACCCCATGCCCAACAGTTTAAATTGATCCCAGTGACTCCCCTGCCCAGGCTCGAAATCAGATGCTCTGCAAAGGCAGTGCTCGAACCTGCGAGGGGTATAATGATAGGTTTAAGGGGTCTTGGAGATAATATGTTTGAATTGGTATCCGGGGTTGCAAAGGTTTGGTTGCAAAGGGATATACAAGAGTGTATCGTAGGACTTGAACTCATGGGTTGTTAGTCTACAGCTGGTTGCAGTGTGTACAACCTATCTGTTAGGTACGGTCAGTTAACTGCGGCTAGAGTTTCAGGACTGCTGGGACCATACAGGTCAAAGGGTGGCCTTCACTAAAGATGACTGTCCGGGTATTATCACTAGATGTACATACAGGGTGGTTTTGGACTCGAATTTGCATTCTTGCATCAATGATATCGCCCAGGTCGAAAGTGTTTTTTTGGTTGTTGCATATTACCGGGCTATTCACATGTTCACTGCAGGGATGCCCAGGATTCCAAAGCAAATGTCATAAACCCTATATAACGAACCGAACATATACATGTATATGTATATGTATATATATATATACATATACATGTATATGTTCGGTTCGTTCTTAAAACAATCCTTGAAAACCTTTAACCCAACTTTAATTGAACTTGGATATCGGCTACACTAAAACTCCAATGTCCACATTTTCACCCAGCGGATAGACTTCCACCCTGCTTGAAAGACTTGGGGTGCTAGCCAGCTCTCTGCCAGCAGCACACGAACTTACAGTTCGAAGTAACGGCCCAGCCGAGCTGGTAGAGTCGGCTCACCATCCCCACGCGCATGTGTTGATCATCATTGCCCATGCACAGCTCTTCGAAGTATATCTTGTACATTGCAAAGAAAGCTGTCACTCCACATTAGCTATCACATGCGACGGCTATGGGAGTGTGCTCACAACCACACCAGCTGCTAGGATCACCCACGAGGCAAGCTTGTGCGACTTCCAAAATGCAAGGTTTCGCGGCCTGAATAATAGTACCAGAAACTTAATATGCACTCTCCACTTCCCTGCAGAAGTCAAGCTTACCCGGCTTACCCATCGGACACACACCAGACTCACGGGGCTGCTGGTGCAGGATTGGGAGTCTCTGGAGCCGCTTTGGCCTTCGGTGCCTTTGGCTTCATCTTACGGGCGTGCCGGGCTGCATCTTTGTAGCTTCGAATAACATGGGCCAGTTCATTCACCCGCATCCGGATACTCTCGTCATCTTGGCCCACAGACACAGCCGCCTCCCAGGTGTGTACATTCCGAATTATGTAGGCTTAAGGATGGCTTTTGGGTTCAGGGGCAGGGTGTTCTAATGAGGTTCGATAATGATGACATTGTTAGCATGCTGAGCTTCGCCTTGTGACTTTCAAGGGTAATTGTGCTAAATCAGAATGGGGTTGCACGTAGAATTCTACAGCTTGGAGCCCTAGCGATATATAGCAAGTCATAGCACAAACCCTGAGATTACATGTCAGGCTGTAGCTTGGATTGTGTTTCGGCTTCTTGAGCTTTCAGGTCTTGCAAGAGTTTCGAGTAATCTTCTTGTTGTTTGAGGTTGGCGGTTCAGTGCTTTTGGTTTCGTGTAGGGTTTAAAAACTGTAGAATCATGCCAATTACAACCCTTCACCACCCATCGATCGTATATAGTATATTGCCATTATAAAACCACCAGACCCTTGCATATACAAGATCGATATCGATATATGCCACACCCCCTAAACAAATGCCCTTCACCCAATATCTTCACCGGCCTCCACACGACTCCTTGACTCTTCCAAAGAGCCCAAATATTGGTGCACATCCTTGAGCACAGCCTCGCGAAGAGCTCCAGGCCTGAACAAATAATTTATGAGGTGCTGAGCAACTTGAACTTAAATTGCAACATCATGGCCACATCTAGTTATTAAGACACCCACGTCTCCGAATTGGCCAGCGCGGTGTTCCAGGATTTGCACTCAAGAATGAGATCAGCAGCAGATTTCATAGCCTTGGATTCGAATTCTGAATGACTTTATGTTTCATGTTCCGGGTGCATAACATGTCTAAGTATCGTAATTGCTGGCTTAAACACCTTCTTGGCTTCCTGAACAGCAGTCTTGACCTTCGGCTGGTTTTCCTCGTTGCCGTTCTCGGTAGCATCATCCTGACCCTTGTTCTTGCCCTTGCCTTTTCCCTTCGCAGAACCTGGTGGTGTCCCTTCCGCAGTGGCCTTGTTCTTTCCCTTGTTCTTGCCCTTGCCTCTGCCCTTTGCATTCGCGGGTGGATTAGCGGGGTTCGGGTTCGAAGACGATGAAGGCTCCGAAGTGCCCGGCAGAGCTGGCGATGCCAGCCGAGGCCCCAGTTTGTCACGGTGGGACCTCGGTTAATCTTTTAGGGGTTATAATATAAGGGATATATATATATATATATATTTAAATAGCTGTAATATAAGTACATAATAGTGGCAAAGTCACAGCAGCTGTGCAGCATCTTCATTCCGCAAGTTGCCAGATCTTCGAATGTCTAGCTCCGTCTGGGAACCGTCTTTTCGAATTTCTTTACTGGCATCCCAACACAGATAAAGCCGCATAGCCTTAGTGTGCATGCGAAAAGTAAACATCTGTATCAAGACACTACCCCTGCAAGATATCCTCAAGTAAAGTGTCACTGTGGTCTGGATTGCTTTCCCATAATCCACTTTCCTCCTGATGTGGGGAGCTCAGGCTTTGGGTGTTTAGAGCCGGTATAATCAATTGAGACAGGGGGTAGCTAGCATCGATTTTGTTTACGGCCGGGGTCTATCTATCTATATAGATGTATACACATACAGAGACCGATATATGGGGATGTGTACATCTATATATACATATACCTAGCAGATAAGCAGTATATATTCTTTGATATATATATATATATATACATATATACATATCTAGACATAGACACACATACTTCAGGCATTATGGTAAGATTTACGATCTCTGTTGTTTTCGAAGTGCAGGAGTCTGGGGAGTCCAGGAGTTTGGGAGTTTGAGTTTGGGGTCTCGAGGTCTTGATTTAGTTAGGGTTAGGGGTCAACCTTCAAGTGCCCAACTGGTTTTAATCATGCCTGGACTACGACCATGGGGATTACGATGGGGGATGGTGATGATGCTGAAACATCATACATATATGTGGTGATGACGGTTCTGGTGATCTGGTGATGAGTGATCATGATGTGTCCATTCATGGAATGGCTAGCCGGGTGCCTTCTCCTGTATGATGCTGTCGACGGTGTCTTGGTCACCGTGATATTTCACAAGAAGATCCTTGGTGGCAGAGCAAAGAAGCCAAATGTATACCACCAGCTACTGTACCCAGTGCTGCATTTACAAGCGAGTAGCTTGGCGACTCATCAACTTGTACTCCCCACGACGAACATTTGCACTGATAGCGCGGTGGTTCACGCAAATGCTGCTCTCGAGCCAATTCATGTTGGCTTGCAGGAAGTCCTCGACCATGGCCTGCCGACCCGTCTTGTCACCACCTTAGCTGGGAGACCAGGGCATTAACGGGCTTCGAGGTTCTGGCAAGGATTCATTTTTTACAACCTTAACCCCGAACCCAGGAGGTTCAAGATAACCCCAACCCCAACTTAAACCCCAAGTGATGTTAACCCTCTTCGGCTTGTTATGGGGGTTGGGGTTTGGTGTTTAGAGTTTGTGGTTTAGGTTTGGGGGTTCAGGGTCTCGGGTCTAGGGTCTCGGGTTTAGGTGATGGGGTTTAGGTTGGGTTTGGGGGTTTAAGTTTAGGGGCTTAGAGTTTGGGGTTTATGGGTTTATGGGAAGTCGCTTTCAGAGAGAGAGATATAGATATTGCATCCAAAGCACTCTCCATCACCTGGTTGTACTTCTTCACGACTTCGGGTGGGCATGATGGGCCTCAGATGACGGTGGTGTTGTTATGTGGCATAAGTAACCTTGCAATGAGTGCAGACGGCCACTTAGAATAAGTAAGGCAAGTTGCTACGCACGGATCGTAGGAACTTCATCGAAATCTTTTGCCGTGTGTTCCTAATGGCCTGCACAACTGCACAACAGCACAGGGGAGGTTGCTGACTTTAGCAGGCTACTTATTTATAGAAATAGGTCACCACCGGGCCCTATTTTTGTTTTGTATTATAATTGTAATGCAACTGGGTTGTACCATTATAATTCCAGCATAGAATGTAATTCATATAGGACTAATCGTGTATCCCGGTCACTATAGTGACAGGGATACACGATAAGTCCTATATGAATTACATTAAGTCAAAGTCCAGAACCCCTAAACCCATGATGGCCTAGCTAATTTTTGTTACCCCGACTTTATGCTTCGATACTGTTTGCCTTCTTGCGGGTTTCCTCTTGCCGTCTTTTCTCCTCTGCTGCTGCATCCTCTGCCTCCTTCCTGCGATGCTCCTCCAAAGCCCGTGCATTTGGGCCCTGCGCCACTCCCGGCTGCACTGGCTGCAGGTCACAGGTGTTTGCTCGTAGCAGGCAGGATTGTACGAGCTGAAGATCAGAGCTGCTGCCTGGGTTGGCTGCTGGGGCTGAGTCGTCCACATCCATTTGTGTCTCCTGCATCATCAGCTGCGAGTGTGGGGGCATTGCTGGAGCTATGGGGACTGTTGCTGCGGGCACACTGACCATAGGTGTTGGTGCTGGGCTTGCAACTTGGGTTGCCAGAGCTGCTGGGCCAGCATTGTAGAACTGTGGTGTTGCTGCTGGCAGTGATGCTACTGGTGTGACTGGGTGTCCGAAGAAATGTGTCTTCGGGGTCGGGTCTACCATCGCAGGTGCACTGGTTACCACAGGCATCGGGGGACTGATCACGTCGGTTGCTGCATACACCACTGCCGTGTTTGCCATTGCCACACCAGGGGTGCTGATCATCGCTGCTGCTGCTGGGCTAGAAACCATCGGGTTCTCAGCTGCATTGGCCACTGCTGGTGCCACACTCGGGGTGCTGATCATCGTTGCTGCTGCTGGGCTAACAACCATCGGGTTCTCACCTGCTTTGGCCACTGACGGTGCCACACTGGCGGTGCTGATAATCGCTGTTGCTGCTGGGCTGACAGCCATCGGGTTCTCACCTGCATGGGCAACTGCCAGTGCCACACTCGGGGTATTGATCATTGCTGCTGCTGGGCTAACCATCGGGTTCTCACCTGCATTGGCCAGTCCCATTGCCACACTCGGGGTATTGATCATTGCTGCTGCTGGGCTGTTGCTTGCATTGGCCACATCTGCCACACTTGGGCCCGGGGCGCTGATCATCACTGCTGCTGCTGGGCTTGCATTGGCCATATTTGCCACACTCGGGTTGCTGATCATCGCTGCTGCTGCTGGGCTAACAACCATCGGGTTCTCACTTGCATTGGCCACTGCCGGTGCCACACTTGGGGTGCTGATCGCTGCTGCTGCTAGGCTAACCATCGGGTTCTCACCTGCACTGGCCACTGCCGGTGCCACACTCGGGGTGCTGATCATCGCAGTTGCTGCTGGGACCATCGGGTTCTCATGTGCATTGGCCACTGCCGGTGCCACACTTGGGTTACTGATGATAGCCGTTGCTGCTGGGCTTTCACTTGCATTGGCCATCTTTGCCACACTCGGGCTGCTGATCATCGCTGCTGCTGCTGCTGGGCTAACAACCATCGGGTTGTCACCTGCATTGGCCACTGCCGGTGCCACACTGGGGGTGCTGATCATCGCTGTTGCTGCTGGGCTGACAACCATCTGGTTCTCACCTGCATTGGCCACTGCCGGTGCCACACTCGGGGTGCTGATCATCACTGTTGCCGCTGGGCTAACCATCGGGTTCTCACCTGCATTGGCCACTGCCGGTGCCACACTCGGGGTGCTGATCATAGCCGTTGCTGCTGGGCTTTCGCTTGCATTGGCCACATTTGCCACACTCGGGGTACTGATCATCACTGTTGTTGCTGGGCTAACAAACATCGGGTTCCCATGTGCAACCACAGGCATCGGGGGACTGATCACGTCTGGTGCTGCATATGCCACTGCTGTGTTTGCCATTGCCACACTCGGGGTGCTGATCATCACTGCTGCTGCTTGGCTATCCATCGGGTTCCCTGTTGCATCGGCCACTGCTGGTGCTGCACTCGGGGTATTGATCATCGTTGCTGCTGCTGGGCTAACCATCGGGTTCTCACCTGCATTGGCCACTGTGGGCTCCACACTTGCGACATCGATCGGTGCTGTTGCTTGCCCTGGGCTTGCTGCTGGTGTGTCTACATTTTGTTGTGCAGGCTTTGCAGGGGTGAAAGGAACAGTCGTTGCCTCAGACATCGGGGTCAAAGGCTCTTGAGCAGCGCGGGGGCTCACCAAATCACGGGCATCAGAACCATCACTCGACATCGGGGACTCACGACGGTGGGAGTCACCATAGACCCGATCTAGGTAGTCAACCACCATGGTTGGTGCAGGAGGTGGTGCCATTGCATACGTCTGTGCAGGTGCTCCTGCAGGGGCAGGTACTGCTGCTGTGTTCGGGGCAGGAGCTGCTGTCGGGGCAGGTACTGCTGCTGTGTTCGGGGCAGGAACTGCTGTTGTGTTCGGGGCAGGTACTGCTGCTGTGTTCGGGGCAGGTACTGCTGTGTTCGGGGCAGGAACTGCTGTTGTGTTCGGGGCAGGTACTGCTGTGTTCGGGGCAGGTACAGCTGCCGTGTTCGGGGCAGGTGTTGCTTCTGCTGCTGATTTCACTGTTACTGTAGGCTCTGTAGATGCGACTGACTCTGCTGCTGGTGTCGGGCTGGTCGTAGCCACCACGTTGAGCCCAGGGCCACTTGAACGAGCAGGGAGCAAACCAGCTTCTGCGAGGGCTTTGTACATAGCAACAGCCTTATTTGCAGCTTTATCAGGGTCTGGTAGCATAGGTAGCTACACCACATAATGATGCAACTGAGTGTCCTCAGCAAGGGAGCAAGCCCCTTGAGGGCCCGAAGAGTCCGTGGTCTGGGAATTCGAAGGCACCACCTTAAGGTTAGCATTCTTGTAATTATAATATAACAGTAGGCCACAGCTTCAGCAGTAACACATATAATTTAGCCTAGATTACAGAAAAAAGTTGCAGGCAAGCATCTGCCCCATCGAGCTCCAAAGCAGCTTCACCTGTGATAGTGGTTTGGGGCTAGGGCACACACATTCAGGGCTGACGGCTTATGGTTGTAGCTGACTGATGCATTATAAGTGTTGGAAGCACCTTCCAAGCATGATGCCGAGCCCACAGAGGAGAGCGCAGAACTCGTGGGCAACGAGGCCGCCCTGCCTGATACATGGCATAGGTGCTACTGTGCATGGTTGGGGTTTGTGGTATCCGAGGCTGAATGGGTTTAGGGCTTTACTGTCCCAGGTTAAGAACCTTGTAGGAGTTTAACATTGGTGTTGGTTCAGGGTTCAGGGTCATAGCTCTGTCAACAGCATACATATAAAAGTATGTATGTAGAGACCTTCATGTATACAGATACCTACATACATGCACTGCACATACATGTACATACACATACATAGACATACATATATATATATATACATACACAGACATACAATACATACATACATACATACATATATATATATATACAATAAATACATACATACATACGTACATATATGCATACACACACATACACATACACATGTATACATGCTATACAAGTATATAGACACACACGGGTCACGATGGTGTAATTTATAAGTCTACAGGTTTATATATGTATTTATATATATATATATAAAGCTGGGATAGCAGTGTAGGGTGTTCTGCTAGTCGAATTACAGTGTATTGCATGTTCACACATGTATGAAAAGCCAATATACATGCACATATTGCATCATCTACTTGCAAGCAGGGGCCTCGAGGGGCTTCAGTCGAAACCGAGTCATCCGGATAATTGAGCTCCATCTTCAGCTTGGCATCGGCTGGGCTGGACATTTTCAAATGCTTTTGCCCTGGCGTTGGGGTTGGCGTCGCTGCCTGGGTGGGTGTTGACTTCTGGGCCCTCTTCCCTTGGTGTTTCAAGGGGGTCTGAGCTGCACTAACATCAGTCTTCACCGGTGTTGATCCCGCAGACATTGGTGCAGCCCTCCGAAGAGTCCCTTGCGCCAAAGCTTTGGAACGTCGCTCCGCAGCTTTCTGGAAGAGGCTGTCCATTTCCTTAGTGATGTGTGTGTGCACTGGTATAGTACGTGAGTCGGCTCGTGCCCTAAAGCAGACTAAGCAGCCTCTCCACCCACACCATCATCTCCCATATCTGCCATGTCCGCAAATCTAGGCACAAAATGTGCGATCCTATCAAGCCAAATGCTGCCAGGTGGCACATGCATGTCAATGTTGCCAACATGCACCGGTGCTTAAACATCATTGCGCAGTACCCCCCCACGTTGCCGACATGGCCCTACTCGGCCCACCCCGACGTCAGCATGCTCCCATGCGTTGCCCACGTAACCCCACCCAGCCCCCCCTAACGTCAGCGGGTCCCCCCACGTGGCCCCACCCAAGCGTCACACCCCGTCACGCCTGGTCACGCTGGTTCCTGCAATGTTGTGTCCAGGGGCCTACTTTAATAGAAAAACGGCTTCCACCGTCACGCCCCGTCACGCCCTGTCACGCCCAGGGTTCTGCTAAAACCTGGGTTGAGGGATTACATGTGGGACAAGATATGCAAATTCATACGAAAAAACACACACCAATGGATAGTTTCCTACAAAAAACCAGCAAACAGCAAGGCTGAGATGCACTTGTCCTTGGGTTTTGGCCTATTTAGATACCTGAATGCGTCAATTCTCACTGAAAACCCACACACAGCATGGTTGAGATGCACTTTTCCCTGGGTTTTGGCTCATTTACAGAACCTGAATGAATAAATTCCTAGGAAAAAGCCCACACACGGTGAGTCGGACGTTGTTTTCCCAGGGTTTTGCCATACCTAGAGACTTTAATGTGTAAGTTCCTAGACAAACACCACACACTGCAAGGATCGGTTGCTCTCGGATGCACTTTGCCCTGGCTTTGGACTTCTACAAGCACTGTATGCGGCACCTCCTAATAAAGGTAAAACCACACGCAGCAAGGCTCGGATGCTCTTGGATGCTTCTTGTAGCTGTGTCCTGCAACAAAGCCTGGATATGTAACACCCAGTTCAGGATCTTCACGAATGGGAGCTCCTGCATAATTCATTTCGAGCACCCGCAACATTGCACTGCTGCATGGTGTGTGCTTGTCCCGGCATGAATTTGCTTAATTTGTCTCCTCCCTGCATCAGGACATACCTGAACTACTTCGGTTAGGTGTCTCCCCTGTTGCCTTAAACTCAAAATGCTCAGCACACTGTGTAATGTAGATAAAGACCTCTTATTATAGTTAACACTATATATATTGATCTCGATACCACGTGGATATACTTGCACACATGTACACGCACATATCTAGGTGTATACATAAATATATATATATATATATATGTACATATATGTAGGAATATATATATATGCACATTAATTTAGGTATTTGATAGATGTGAGTTTATGATGTAGAGGAAAAGACAGAAACAGATGGAGACAGAGATATACCAATGCATAGTTATATACATATTAGATGTACATATACATCTACATATAATGGAAGGGCTGTAAAAGTGCATACAACAACGCATGCACACATGTGGGTATGTACATATATACATATATTATTCGAAGAGGTGTGTATCTATATATGTATACATATGGGTATATATACACATGTCTTTTACATGTGTACATGTATACACACATGATATATTTCTATGTGAAAACACGTGAGCATATATGTCGTGATACAGATAGCAAAATATAATGATATAAGCCTGTATTTGTTATCTATCTATATATATATATGTATGTATGTATGTATGTGCATGTGTGTGTGTGTGAAGCATACCTACACACACGCATATACGTATATATATACATATATATACACATGTATAGACACATTCTTACACATATATCTATACATTGTACATGTTGTGTTAATGTAAATGAATTGTTAGGAACCTGATATATATATATATATACATATACATATATGTGTGTGTGTGCCTAAGTAATAGAACCATAGACATGAATTATAATATACATTATTGTGTGCATATATATATATATACACATATATATATATATATACATGTGTGTGTCGCAATGCTATATAAATATATGTGTACATTTATATGTATGCACATGGGTTGATATTACTCGAAACTTACAAGTCCAACCCAGATAAAACCAGTTACACTGTATCTAGATCGGGTAGGGACAGACAGGTCGAAACCTGCCAGCTGCCTGCTCTGTGAGCAGAAAAAGCCGTAGTGGCTCGAGGTTTGCATGCCTCCACTTCATCGGCTGTGCCTGGGGCGATGTTTAATGTAGGGGTGTTACTCATAATAAAAGACCTCGTAGCTTATCGGGTGTATGGTACTCAAGTAGGTGTGTATATATATATATATATGATCGACCCATATATATATATATATATAGGCAGGCAGGCAGGCCTACACACATATGTATGTGACACATGTTTAAAGCATACATGTGCAGTGCAAGACATGGTGTATGTATATATATATATATATATATGTATATATATATATATGTATAGACTACTATGTATATATATATATATGTAGCTATATGCCACAATGTATACGGCGAAAATCATTCTAATTATGACATATATAGCATGTACGAATACAGACATGTTAGCATTCCTTACATGCATACATATACATACATACCACACCCACTAACTGCACTATAGGAGCATGCATACAGATAACAAATCCCAAAGCATTGCAGGGGTGGTGCCTCGAGCTCGATTCAGCAGGACAGGCAGCTTGCTCGGCTTCTACAATACGGGGCTTCTCAGGGTCCCTTCTACAATACGGGGCTTCTCAGGGTCCTAATAGTTTGTAATACATAAAACCTAAGATTGTTTCAGGTCCAGGGCACAGACTGCCGCCCATCCCGGATTAGATTGGGGCTTGGGTTACGATTATCTGGAGTGTAGTCTAGGGTTTTAGCGGGATGCGTTCGGACATGAGGAAATCAGGGCATAATCTTATAAAACCAAAGCCAGAATTCGAAGTAAATGTGCAAGCTTGCATTCGGCCCTGTGTCTGTACATGCTGGTAGCTACTGTATATGTGCAGAATAATCTACAGAGTGCAACATACAGACCGCATTATCCTACCTAGCAGGACCAGAACCCCAGAAACGTTAATTTGATCCCGAAATCCAGCAGCGCATTCCAAACCTGCCAACTTGAAACTCCTCCGGATAGGAAATCGAATCACGCAGCCTCCCCAACTGTAACTGCAGATGATCATTCACGACTCCGAAGCCTATCTCCGATAACAAACCCCAAAAGTCTGAGACCCCTTCTTAATTTCAGGTTCTAGGGTTTAGGGTTCACACTGGGTTTTGTTTCTGACGCTTTATGTGACTAGCTAAGTCGGGTTCGAATGCATTCGTTTTCGGGGTGCTGAAGTTCTTGTCCACATTTGTATTTGTAGGGACGAGTCTGTTCTAGCCATATATATATATATATAGTAGAAGCCAGAAAGTTGGAACATGACTTTGAGAGGATTGGTGCTAGGATCCCTTATACTTTAAATTTACCTTGGAGATAATAATGAAGTTCCAACTTTCTGGATTCTACTATATATATATATAGAGATACATAAGCAGGAGTCGGCTTTGTTGGCCCAGTGGCTTTATGTAGAGGTGGAGGCAGGGCCTTTAATTGGTTTGGGGTTTGGGGTTGATGTACTTGGCTAGTGAACTACCCAATATTCCCC